TCTTCAAGTTGTACAGCTGACGGTGGTGGTGCAGCAGCAGCTGACGGTGGTGCAGCAGCAGCTGACGGTGGTGCAGCAGCAGCTGATGGTGGTGTGGCAGCAGCTGACTGAGGTACAGCAGCAGCTGACCGTGGTACAGCAGCAGCTGACTGTGGTGCAGCAGCAGCTGACCATGGTACAGCAGCAACTGACTGTGGTATAGCAACAGCTGACAGTGGTGTAGTAACAGCTGACAGTGGTGCAGCAGCAGCTGACCATGGTACAGCAGCAGCAGCAGCTGACCGTGGTAAGATAGTATTTCCATAGTATTTCTCACCCTTTTTACCACAGGGTTGGAACTAGAAGCTTTCTTTGGGCCCATGGTGGCTTATTTAGCAGTTACAGACAGAGAATAGGATAGCAGATGAACAAGGAGGCTTTAGGAAAGGTAGGGGGTGTGTGGACCAGGTGTTTACAGTGAAACATATAAGTGAACAGTATTTAGATAATGCTAAAGAGATTCTTGTGGCATTTATGGATTTGGAAAAGGCGTATGACAGGGTGGATAGGGGGGCAATGTGGCAGATGTTGCAGGTGTATGGTATAGGAGGTAGGTTACTGAAAGCAGCGAAGAGTTTTTACGAGGATAGTGAGGCTCAAGTTAGAGTATGTAGGAAAGAGGGAGATTATTTCCCAGTAAAAGTAGGCCTTAGACAAGGATGTGTGATGTCACCGTGGTTGTTCAATATATTTATAGATGGGGTTGTAAGAGAAGTAAATGCGAGGGTCTTGGCAAAAGGTGTGGAGTTAAAAGATAAAGAATCACACAAAGTGGGAGTTGTCACAGTTGCTCTTTGCTGATGACACTGTGCTCTTGGGTGATTCTGAAGAGAAGTTGCAGAGGTTGGTGGATGAATTTGGTAGGGTATGTAAAAGAAGAAAATTGAAAGTGAATACAGGAAAGAGTAAGGTTATGAGGATAACAAAAAGATTAGGTGATGAAAGATTGGATATCAGATTGGAGGGAGAGAGTATGGAGGAGGTGAATGTATTCAGATATTTGGGAGTGGACGTGTCAGCGGATGGGTCTGTGAAAGATGAGGTGAATCATACAATTGATGAGGGGAAAAGGGTGAGCGGTGCACTTAGGAGTCTGTGGAGACAAAGAACTTTGTCCTTGGAAGCAAAGAGGGGAATGTATGAGAGTATAGTTTTACCAACACTCCTGTATGGGTGTGAAGCATGGGTGATGAATGTTGCAGCAAGGAGAAGGCTGGAGGCAGTGGGGATGACATGTCTGAGGGCAATGTGTGGTGTGAATATAATGCAGAGGATTCGTAGTTTGGAAGTTAGGAGGAGGTGCGGGATTGCCAAAACTGTTGTCCAGAGGGCTGAGGAAGGGTTGTTGAGGTGGTTCGGACATGTAGAGAGAATGGAGCGAAACAGAATGACTTCAAGAGTGTATCAGTCTGTAGTGGAAGGAAGGCGGGATAGGGGTCGGCCTAGAGAAATTTTAATGAAAACAAGAAAAAAATTTGGAGTTCAACAAGAAAGCCTAGGGAACGAATGGATTTGTCAGTTAAAAACAGATTAGGGGAGTTAGTAGATGGGGAGTTGAAGGTTTTGGGTAGATGGCGAGAATATTTTGAGGAACTTTTAAATATCGACGAAGAAAGGGAGGCAGTAACTTCATGTATTGGCCTGGGAGGTATACCATCTTTTAGGAGTGAACAAGAACAGGATGTGAGTGTGGGGGAGGTGCATGAGGCGTTACGTAGAATGAAAAGGGGTAAAGCAGCTGGAACTGACGGGATCATGACAGAAATGTTAAAAGCAGGGGGGGATATAGTGTTGGAGTGGTTGGTATTTTTCTTTAATAAATGTATGAAAGAGGGAAAGGTACTTAGAGTTTGGTGGAGAGCATGTATAGTCCCTTTATATAAAGGGAAGGGGGACAAAAGAGATTGTAAAAATTAGAGAGGAATAAGTTTACTGAATATACCAGGAAAAGTGTACGGTAGGGTTATAATAGAAAGAATTAGAGGTTAAGAGATAGTGTAGGATTGCGGATGAGCAAGGAGGTTTTAGAGTGGATAGGGAATGTGCAGATCAAGTGTTTTCATTGAAGCATATATGTGAACAGTATTTAGATAAAGGTAGGGAAGTTTTTATTGCATTTATGGATTTAGAAAAGGCATATGATAGAGTGGATAGGGGAGCAATGTGGCAGATGTTGCAAGTATATGGAATAGGTGATAAGTTATGTGATGGCCCCCTGCCAAACTAGCGGTTAAATGGTTAACCTGCCGGCTGGCAGTACCAAGGGTACGTCATCAAACCCAATGGGGGGACTGCTGAGCTGGCCTTAGAAGCAGTAATTACCAGAACACCTCACGGTATACATCTACTGGCAGTAGAGAGTATTCAGCCGACCATCTTACACCGCAGCTCACCGAGTCTGATGGCCTCGGCTACTTGACAGCCGCATTCAGTGAGCTCGCAGCATTGTGTTCTGCAAACAGTATTTGTCAACTGGTGTTGAAGGCGGTAAATAGTACTCACCAGACCATCTTACGGTGTACTTCTACCGGCCTTGGAGAGTATTTACAGGACAGGTGATGTCTGTGGACTCACCGCCTACGCTGGTCAACTGTGGGCCAAGTCAACTGATGCTGTTTTAGTGTGACACTGTTTGAAGAAAAGGTTGGAGTGTGACACTGAACTGGGCTAGGACCGTAGTGTGACACTGAAGGAAGTATGATGGAGTGTAACACTGAGATATGCTATAGGACCGTAGTGGAACACTGAGAAGAAAAGGGTGTCGTGTGACACTAAAGAAGTTACGATTGTAGTGTACGCTGAATAGTGTCATGTGACTGGCCTCTAAAGGAAAGACGCTATGCAGAGTGAGTGTGTGTCGCAGAGACAAGGGTGTCAAGTGTGACACAGTCGAGAAAGAGTACGGATGACGCAGAGAAAAGGGTGTCGTGTGACACGGAGAGTAGGAGTGTCGTGTGACACAGAAAAGGGTGTCAAGTGACACAGTTGAGCAGGAGCGTCATTACACGGAGAAAAGGGTGTCAAGTGACACAGTGGAGAAGGAGCGTCACAACTCGGATAAGTGTCGAGTGAGACACAGAGCGTCATTAGGGTGTCGTGAGACACGGAGTTGATTATAATTTATTATTGTAAATATGTTACTTATAATTTATTATTTTAGCATAGATATATATATATGACACAGTAGTGTCTAAAAAAGTTGTACCCTGTGTGTAGGGTCATTAATTATTATTTATTATTTTAGATGCTAATAATTTATTATTGTAACATGTGTATGTTCAAATACCTCTAGACCAAAGATTGCATTTTATATAATATTAAAGATTATTTTTATACGGAATTAAAATGATAAATATTTTGTGTATTTATGTATCTCGAACTCTATTACAAAATGAGTAAACTACTACCATCAAAATACTTTTTTTGTAATAAGTTACTAAATGCTGTAAAGAGTTTTTATGAGGATAGTGAGGCTCAGGTTAGGGTGTGTAGAAGAGAGGGAGACTACTTCCCGGTAAAAGTAGGTCTTAGACAGGGATGTGTAATGTCACCATGGTTGTTTAATATATTTATAGATAAGATTGTAAAAGAAGTAAATGCTAGGGTGTTCGGGAGAGGGATGGGATTAAATTATGGGGAATCAAATACAAAATGGGAATTGACACAGTTGCTTTTTGCTGATGATATTGTTCTTATGGGAGATTCTAAAGAAAAATTGTGAAGGTTAGTGGACGAGTTTGGGAGTGTGTGTAAAGGTAGAGAGTTGAAAGTGAACAAAGAGAAGAGTAAGGTGATGAGGGTATCAAATGATTTAGATAAAGAAAAATTGGATATCAAATTGGGGAGGAGGAGTATGGAAGAAGTGAATGTTTTCAGATACAGTGGACCCCCGGTTAACGATATTTTTTCACTCCAGAAGTATGTTCAGGTGCCAGTACTGACCGAATTTGTTCCCATAAGGAATATTGTGAAGTAGATTAGTCCATTTTAGACCCCCAAACATACACATACAAACGCACTTGCATAAATACACTTACATAATTGGTCGCATTCGGAGGTAATCGTTATGCGGGGGTCCACTGTACTTGGGAGTTGACGTGTCGGCGGATGGATTTATGAAGGATGAGGTTAATCATAGAATTGATGAGGGAAAAAAGGTGAGTGGTGCATTGAGGTATATGTGGAGACAAAAAACATTATCTATGGAGGCAAAGAAGAGAATGTATGAAAGTATAGTAGTACCAACACTTATATGGGTGTGAAGCTTGGGTTGTGAATGCAGTAGCGAGGAGGCGGTTGGAGGCAGTGGAGATGTCCTGTCTAAGGGCAATGTGTGGTGTAAACATTATGCAGAAAATTCAGAGTGTGGAAATTAGGAGAAGGTGTGGAGTTAATAAAAGTATTATTCAGAGGGCTGAAGAGGGGTTGTTGAGGTGGTTTGGTCATTTAGAGAGAATGGATCAAAGTAGAATGACATGGAGAGCATTTAAATCTGTAGGGGAAGGAAGACAGGGTAGGTGGTTGTCCTTGAAAAGGTTGGAAGGAAGGGGTAAGGGAAATTATGTGGGCGAGGGGCTTGGACTTCCAGCAGGCGTGCGTGAGCATGTTCGATAGGAGTGAATGGAGACGAATGGTATTTGGGACACTCTAAAGGAGGGGTTTGGGATATTGGCAGTTTGGAGGGATATGTTGTATATCTTTATACATACACGTATATGCTTCTAAGCTGTTGTGTTCTGAGCACCTCTGCAAAAACAGTGATTATGTGTGAGTGAGGCAAAAGTGTTGAATGATGACGAAAGTATTTTCTTTTTGGGGATTTTCTTTCTTTTTGGGTCACCCTGCCTCAGTGGGAGACGGCCGACTTGTTAAAAAAAAAAATTATTTATTTACTTATTTTGCAATGAAGTACTGTAATATATTGTAATGTATAGTACATACACTAACTATCACAACTATACCTGTTAATTGAAAAGTTGTTCTTGCTTCTGCTCTTCTGACCCAGAACGTGAACCAACGTTTCTTGACTATGAGCTGAACAGTGCGTTGCCCCGTATACCACAAATATGTGTCAGAATCATAAGTAATATTCCAGTAGGCTTTACCTTCATTGATATATTGCTGTAAAGAACCATCATTTGTAAGAGAAAGTAACATAATTGCACACATGCATTGCAAACACTACACATTCAAACTAAGTTGCCAATGAACAAGAATGGACAGACACTCGTGTTCAGATCATTATTCAGCACTGATTTCAGCTAGCGTGATTTCAAATCTCCAGGGTCGCCACACCAACCTGCTGGCACAATTTGGTGGCACTACTTGCTGCATAAGTCATTCCAATTTCTTTTTCTCCATTTACTGTTATAACCTGCTTACTTTTAGCCCTAGCCATGGTTCCAACAAATAAAAGAAATGCTTCTCGTTGTGTAAAGCATGTATGCAGTACTTTGTCCATAAAAGATAAGGTGGCTTTGAAGAAACTGTCGGTTGCCATGAACTCAGTCTTGTGATGCAGGGGAATATGCTCTATTACACTAATATCAACACTACGGCTTATTTGCCTATTCACAATTGATCTAATATGACATAATGAACAAAATAAATAACATAAAAACATATTAAGTACTCCAGAATGAATAATATTTGGCATAATACTGGGCAGTTCAACAGAGGTATGAAGAGGATATGGGATACAAGTACCATTCACCTATCCCTGTCTTGGGGGCTTATATTAGAGAAAATGGAGTATAGCACAAGGCTAACTGTGATATACACTCATAGTGCACCATAAAACTGAAACAAAAAAGCTATTTTCTCTACACAGATTATCATACACAGCAGCATATGTGTAGAGAACCTAGGATAACCCAAAAAAGTCAGACAAAGTGACTTATTTCTGGGCTTGCAATATATGATTTTTGGTAAATAATTATTTTTCTTGATTGTTTGTTGGGCTATCTTATTGAAATGTGGGCAATGTATGATGGAAAAACGCTTCTTAACGTACACCAAAAATTAAAGAAATCGGAGCATAAATAACAGAGTTCATTTCTCAGCCATTAGCCGCCCCTTAGTGGTATACGTACATGTATTTTCAAATGGTTTTTATTGTTGTATTCTCATTTTTTTGGTCTCGTTTGATAGAATGGAAGATACATTACAGAAACAGATGTGACTTTGATTGCTTTCATGACAAAAGTACCTTGAAATTGAGCTCAAAGTAGTGGAAATGTTCGATTCTTTGGCGATGTTCAAGAGGAAACAAATGACGTCACTGTCTAATATGTGTCCGCCTGCCAGTCTAAATTCCAATACGCAGTTTCAAATGGATTGACATTATTTATACAATTATTACAATAATGCAGTAGTCTGCATAACAATAAATCTTGTATTTTTTGTGTGAATAAAAATTCCAAATGGTAAGCTAGAGAAATATAAGAGGGGCCTGGAGCCATGACTAATGAACAGAGAAAATGTTATTTTAGTGCCAGGAATGTCTGCATTGTTTATTCTGGACCCTATTTTGAAACTGGCATCTTCTGAAATTTGTCTGGAACTGGCCAAACTAGCAATTTCTAACCACTTTATTGGGTAATTGAAATAGGTGAATGGGTAGTTTCTTGTACTCAGTCAAGAGAATAGAAATAAGTAAGTTTATTCAGGTATACACAAATAGTTACACAGATTATCATACATAGCAGTGTATGTATAGAGAACCAAGGATAACCCAAGAAAGTCAAAGTGACTTATTGCCAGTAGTACCTGGCTTGGGCTTGCCATATATGATTTTTGGTAAATATTTTTTCTCAGTTGTTTGTTGGGCTATCTTACTGAAATTGGGCAATGTATGATGGAAAGATGCTTCTTAATGTACTCCAAAAATGAAAAAAATTGGACCATAAATAATGAAGTTCACTTCTCAGTCATTAGCCGCCTCTTAGTGGTATATTTTTGTATGTTTTTTATGGTTGTATTCTCATTTTTTTTTGGTCTCATTTGATAGAATGGAAGATATATTACAGAAATAGATATGATTTTGATTGGTTTCACGATAAAAAGTACCTTGAAATTAAGCTCAAAGTAGCGGAAATGTTCAATTTTTGCCAATGTTCACTGAATTTTCTTGTGTAAGTAAAGTTGGTTAACTTTATTTAGTGTATTCTAACATAACCACTCTGTAGTCCAACAAACTCAGTAATCCAGCACACTACAGGTCCCAATGATGCTGGATTTGTAATGGCAGACCTGTATAGTCTTCCTCCCTCTATTTTTAATGCAGGAAAAATATGCTGGCTGTGTCTTTTGTAACAGATATGAAGGCGAGACCTCCATGGGGAAGTGGAACAGAATTCTTCCTCCGTAAGCCATGCGTGTTGTAAGAGGCGACTAAAATGCCGGGAGCAAGGGGCTAGTAACCCCTTCTCCTGTATATATTACTAAATGTAAAAGGAGAAACTTTCGTTTTTCCTTTTGGGCCACCCTGCCTCGGTGGGATACGGCCGGTGTGTTGAAAGATGAAAGAAGAATGAAGGCGAGACCCTAGGTAGTAGGTTGGTACACAGCAACTGCCCAGGGAGGTACTACCGTCCTGCCAAGTGAGTGTAAAACGAAAGCCTGTACTTGTTTTACATGATGGTAGGATTGCTGGTGTCCTTTTTTCTGTCTCATGAACATGCAAGATTTCAGGTATGTCTTGCTACTTCTACTTACACTTAAGTCACACTACACATACATGTATAAGCATATATATACACACCCATCTGGGTTTTCTTCTATTTTCTTTCTAGTTCTTGTTCTTGTTTATTTCCTCTTACCTCCATGGGGAAGTGGAACAGAATTCTTCCTCATAAGCCGTGCGTGTTATAAGAGGCGACTAAAATGCCGGGAGCAAGGGGCTAGTAACCTCTTCTGTATATATTACTAAATGTAAAAGGAGAAACTTTCGTTTTTCCTTTTGGGCCACCCCGCCTCGGTGGGATACGGCCTGTGTGATGAAAGAAAGAAGATGAAGGTGAGACAGAGAGTGAGTTTCCCAAGAGCTGATGTTGGTGACACAGTCAACAGGTTGGATAATATTACATTAGGTAATAGCAACAAGCCTATTATCTGCCTCAGTGCTAGTGGAAATGATATTGGAAAGGGAAAGAGACAGGAGCTATTAGATATGTACAGGACAGCTATAGCTTTAATTAGGTCTAAGAAAGGGGTCCTGATCATATGTAGTATTTTGCCTAGAAAAGGAGTGGGCAAGAATGGGTGTCTAGGGCAACTGGTGTAAATTGCTGGCTAGACAGGTATTGCAAAGAACTTGCAATCACATTTGTTGACAACTGGGGTAATTTCTATGCAAACATGATATGTATGCAAGGGATGGGATACATCTCTCTCTTAGGTAGTGGTGGTAATGTTAGCTAACTGTCAAGGTAGCCATTGCTTAGTTGTCTAGAACTCTGAACTAACAGAAGATAGAGGTGTGGGAAACAAACAGGTTACAGCACAAGGGATGAAAGCAGAAAAAATTGCTGGGATACCAAAGGGATATATTCAAAAGATATTGTTTATCATAAAGTTACTAATAAATGCAACTAAACTGCTCAACAAAGAGAGACAATAGAGGGTAGAGTGTGACTAACTCCCATGACCCCATAATCTTTTTCGAAAGGTAATGGCACCAAAAGTGCGAAATTTGGTGGGAAACTTACAGAATTGCAAAGGAACAAAGTTAGCAGTCTTGACTAATTTATCCATTGGCGATTTCGCCAAATGAGCGCAAGAAGCCACCCATTCACCTACTTTAACTACCCATTTGGTGCACAGAATTCGGTAAGCTGGTAAATTTTACACAAAATACCAATTAAAAAATAGATTCCAAAACTACACAATGTAGACATTCCTGGCACTAAAACAACATTAATCATGTCCACAGGCCTCTCCTATATTACACTTGTCTTCCATTTTGAATTCTTAATCACAAAAATAGAAGATTTACTCTATTTCTTAGATAATAAAATATAAACCAGGAATAATTGGTTTTGGTTTACAGTGTCCCAATAATTGAATCAGACCTATTAAAAACCCATAAAACAAACTGAGGGTGTAATCAAATATTTCTGCTACTTTTGAGTTCAATTTCAAGCTACTTCCAGTCCACGAACCAATCAAAATTATCGCTATTTCAGTAATATGTCGTCCATTCTATCAAATGATACTAAGAAGCAGCCAATAAAACAATAAAAACCATCTGAGAAATCACTTCAAAAGTCACTATTTCCAACCTTCCAAACAGTTTTGTTTTTCCCACCATGCACTGCATGGGGAAGGATTTTTTTTATACTGTGCACACTCACTGCACACACCCATTCTCTCATATCTAGGCCAAAATTTACTGCTTACAGTTTATCTGAGCAAGCTGAGCTCATGATGTACAACTACGTGAAGGGCCCCAGCCTCAGTGACGCAGTTCTACTTCACCACTGAAAGGGTTAAGGTCTATTATACTAATAGAAGAAGTAGAAGAAATAAGATAGATGAGTTAAGACTAACTGCATACACAGAAAGCACAAGTATTATTACTATAACAGAGACCTGGCTCAACCCGAGAAATAGAGAAATGCCTTCTGAATGCCACATACAAGGATATAAATTATTCTACAACAATAAGGTTAATAGGAAGGGTGGTGGAGTGATGCTGTAAGTCACATATAATTTAAACTTTTGAATTAGACAAGATATAAAAGTGGAAGCAACCGACATTAAATCTGTTTGGCTACAGTTTCTCAAGGACATAAACTAATGTCCTTTTGACAGGGAATGAAGTACACTTCTATACAATATAATTACTAAGACATCTAGATATTAAAATGTTGTTTATCTTTAGACAAATTGATTGGAGTAATTTAATAGGAAATCTTAAGTGTAGTGACTTTCTTGATATGATGCAGGACTTTTTTTTAAAACAGTTTGTAACAGATCCAACTATAGGAAATAATTTTTGTCCTTGCCAACATGCAATCAACAATTAATAACCTTCAGGTTAATGACGAGCTTGGGGAAAACAATCACAAATCACTCAGTTTCAGTATATAATGGAAATACCCTAAATACAACTAAGTCAA